CTTGGCTTTTGTCACTCTGTGCCACAAACTGTGTCAGTGTACAGTGCCCACACTGCCTGACTGGCTCCTGGAGATTGGTGTTCACCATATGTGCTTCTCCAACAAGCCTTGGGTATGCCTGGAGCAGCCAGAAGTAGAGTTCTTGGCTCTCATTTCGCTCCCTCCCTGAAATCAAGAGACTTTTAACTTCAAAAGAAGCAGGCTTGGGGTGTGCTGGGGAGGATTCAGCAGGAGCGTGTCCTGGGAGCAGGTTCTTGAACTGGTGGAGGAGCCATAGGGCTCATCCTAGTGCTGTTTTTTCCAGGTGTGAGAGGAGAATGGAGTGACCTGCAAACAGGTCCGTCTGCTCCAGCCTGTCCCACTTTAACACCCTTCAGCAGCAACAGGATGGGGGATGCTTGTGCATGATTCCCCTTGAGAACTAAGCTAACCAGCCACTGGATGTCATTATTGCTCCAAACCAGTACACTGAAGAATCTATTCCAAACCTCCAAAAATATGTGAGTTTTCAGTATGGAAAGCTTAAAATGTGCTTCCTGAGGACACAAATCCTTTCACCTCTTGTCCTGCAGCTCTTGTCTTCCCCGGCACACCTTTGCATGCTGGGGGACAGGGTGCCTGGGGTTTGGCACAGGGAGGACTCAATCCTGTGTGACCTTTCTGCCCTTCCCGGAAGCTCCTACGCTACCTCCTCATCTGTGGGGATGACATCATGGCTGTTTCTGTAGCAACAGAAAGGGGCACTGCAATTCCTGAGTGGGATTGAGCAGGAGGGAGATGTTCCCCCTCCCTGGCAGTGCCTTTGGCATGGCCCTGGGCTGGGGAGCAGAGCTGGCAAGTCAGAAGGCTTTTGGCTGGTAGCTGACCCAAGAAATCAGGAGGAAAAAAATTAGTTCAGTTTCCCCCCACTTCATCTTTCAGCTGGGGACCCCATCTGTCTCACCAGACCTGAACTGAAATATTTTGCTTTGGGTTATTTGACCTGGCAAGCATTTTTTCTGCCTTTTCCCTGCTTCACTTTAAAAATGAGATCTGGTCTTAAAGAAAACTGCGTTTTGAAACCATAGTGGGAAGTTTCATTTAGAGAGGGCAACATCCTCCCTCTGCCTCCTTCCCCCAGGGATTTTCATTGCAGTTTTCCCAAATTCAGCCTGATTTCACCAACGATTTTGGGTTCTCGGATTGTCCATTTATTGGGTGGTTTGATATTTACTGAAAACATTGTGCCTGGTTCGATGGGAGAGCTGATCAGGGGTTCAGCTGGTGCTTGACCCTCCTCCCCCTGAGCTGCTTGCAGGTCCTCTCCCAGCACTCCCAGCGTAGCTGTGCCATCACAGCTGCCCATAAACTCTGGGACAGACTTTTCCCAATATACTGGGAAGTCTTGGGCATCCCATTTGCTGCTTGTATGGTCAGGACTTTATGGAGGAATGGAGAGCAACTGCAGAGGGGAACTGTGTTTGCACCACAGTGCAGCACGGAGAGGAACTGATGATCCCTGGGGAAATCCAGGCACAGTGCTTGCTGGGGAGAGCTTCCATGTAGCCTCACTGATCTGTACTCTTTCATCTTTATGTGCCTACTTCTAACTTGCCCTATTTCACTTATATCCCTTTCATTGGCTTTTCTTCTTCCAACACAGCCATAAAATAAGCTAGGAAAACACCAACTGCTGCAAGCCTGATGTAAAGAAATAATCCTGAAACACCAGATCAGGATGTTCATGGGCTGTGCCTCATCTCTAGCACTGCCTCGGGTCCCACAAACACCTCTGGCCAGCAGCAGCATCTTCAGCTCCCATTGCAAACCACTGCAAGGAGCCACAGGCCAAGGGAAAAAAATCATTCTGCTTAGCCTTGCTCTTACACTCTTGCAGAGAAGAGCTTGGGATAGGCCTTGGGTGCATGTTGGCAGAAGGGAAGCCGTCTCACAGCCTGGTAATAGCTCTCAGCATATGCCTGCACTCCCTGCTTGTTTTGACTTGCGTGGGAATCTTTGCAATCAAAATGATACGACAATTCCAATCATTGTTGATCGCTTTAGGCAGGTGTAATTCAAGCTCTGGCTGCAGACGGCTGTCATTTAATTAACAAGGAAAGAGCCAAAATTCTGTGTAAGACTGGGGAAGGCAAAGAGAGGAGCCTAAGGGGGACTTGGGATAATAGAAAGTGGAGGATGCCTGCAGACTCAGAGTTTAGCTGTTCCCCAAATCAGGTAACGCCGACATTATTCCGTGTGTCACAGGCAGTGACGTGTGCTCGGCAAGCTGTGGTAGGCAACACAGTTATGCACTTATTTCAGTCCAAATCATGGGGAATTACTTGAGGACAACACAGAGGGAAGCCCCGCACAAGTCACTTCTCGGTACTGTTACCAGCTCTAGGAACTCACAGTCTCTTTTCTCTTGCTGTTTCACCACTGATTTACTTCCTGGCCTGGGCAGCACTTGCCCTCAGCCCTCCAGGGCCCAGCTCAGCTGGGTACAAATGCTGCAGCTCTCTTTGGTCAGTGGAGCAGTGCTGGCCCTCCAACAGTGCAGAATTTGTCCCTGTCCTGCTCCCTTTGCAGCTGCTGACTTACCAAGGGTGGTATTTCTTTGCAGTGGGCTGTGTACTGTGTGTGCCTCTGCTTTCCACACTTCTGACCCAGATTTCAGTTTTCTACACCTAAAATGAAATTAATAAGTCCTGTTACTGCAGTAGGAAAAGTGGTGGGCGGCAAAGGAAACACTTCAGTCCTGCTTATCTTGGGCAAAGTGAGGATGTTTTGAAATCCTTTTCAGTTATTCATGTCCAGATAATGCAATGCCTCACCTTCTGCAGCACCTGTTGTGCTCTCTCTCCCTCTTCTTGGTCACCTGGTCATGAGACGTGTCCGGAGCTCACCTTCATCCAAGGGAAACTGAAGCACACTCCTGGCAAATACAATATCACCGTGTGGAGATGAGCTCAGAGATCAGGTCCGAGCTGTTTCAGCCCTTGGACCATCCCATTATGGAATAGCAAAGCCAAGGGGAAAAGTCAATCTGTAAATACATGGGTGAGCCAAGTCATCTAGAGAGATGTCAGAGGAGTTTTGTGTCCCTGCTCCAGCAGCTGTGGCAACATCCTTTCGCTCCCACAGCCCCTTCACCCGGGATCCTGCTGGCAGCTGCAGCAGCCCACACTGCTGCACACAAATGCTGCCATGCTCAGGTGAGGGACCAAGGGAAAGAAAGACCTCCTGTACTGGGAGCTGTTGAGCTGATGAAGGGATTTCCAGTTGCAGAGATGGCAGAAAATGTCACTCTGTTGTCCCTTGGCTCATGGGAATGCCTGCGTGCACTGGTACAACCTTGCACTTGCATGACCCAGAGCATGCAGCATGTGGGACCTAGTCCAGCTCAACAAAACAACCCTTGGTGTCCCACTCGGTGTTCTGGCTTCTGGTTTGACACCCCTGAGCTACCAGGATGGCAGGGCCTTGTACTCTTTTAATTTACTCCTGTCTCAGCAAATGGCTGTGGTACTAAGAACCAAATTTTGGAGAGAAGGGAGATGAAAATCCAGAGGAAATTGCTGGCTTCCCGCAGTGCTGACTCTGAGCTGTTTGATATTCTCTCTTTTTTAAGGTTTGCTTGTTTTAAAGCAACATTAATTGGAAAGATGCTGGAGTGTCAAATAGAAACCACTCCCTGAATAACCTCACTAATGAGCATGTTATTAAAGCAGGGTTAGGAGCTCCCTAGAGGGCTCTCACTGGATAGGATTAAATTAAAAAAAACATCATCTAAACTAGACAGAAAATCTCTGTTAGTCTGCAGTGATGAATATAGAAAAGTCCAATGAAAAGTGGCTTTGAAAGGTTTAAGGTATGTCTTCCTATCTGGGACTAGACTTCTCCCTCCCTCAGGGCTCACTCAGGCAGGGAAGAAGTTTTTAATGAAGCAGAGGATGGAGGACTTGCAGCTCAGAGCCTGGCAAGTCCACTCTCCAAGTGGTCACATCCCCATGCTCTTGATACTTGCCCATGTAGGTCAGCAAGGGCAGTCCAGGGTGGACAGTGTCTCTGCCCAAGCAACGTGGCTTGTGGGAGGCAAGGGCCAGCAGAGATGGGGATGCTGAGAGCCTGTGTCAGGAGATGAGAGGGTGCCTGTCAGATCAAAGTTTTGCTTTAATCTGACTCCATTGGAGCAGTTGCTCAGTAAAGCCCTGTGCTGCTCCCCCTTTGAGGTGGTGGCATCTCATAACTCCCTGTTCATCTGCCTTTCCCTTAGGTCTGGAGACACCTATGAGAGCAAGGACACAGCAGTAGTTCTAGAGCAGATGGGGCTGTGGGATGAGGTCACACATCCATCCTCTGACAGCAGTGTGAGGATGCTGGTCCCCACCCCATCTCCACGTTCAGCCAGCCCAGGAGCACTGGCCGCTGGAGCAGCTTTGGACAGGGATAGCGAAGGAGAGGTTTTGTGATTCCTGGTCCCTTCTCTCCTGCTGGAAAGAATGTGGGAGGATTTAGGGCAGAAAAACTGTTCTCATACCATCTGAAGGCAGGCATGAAATGCTTTAGCAAAGCTTCCCTGCAGGCAACAGCGACTTCCAGAGCAATTCCAGCTTTTTTGTGGCTTGCCCTCGCTTCCTGTGAATGGTGGGCAGGTCAGCCCTGCCCCAGCCGCAGCGGGGGGCTGGCTGGGGAGCTGATTTACTGCCCTGCAGATGAGGAGCTTCATAGCTTAAGGCCATTCTTTGCATTACCATGGAGCACATTTTCGGGGAAGCTTGGCTGCCTGGGCTGCTCCTGCCCAGATATTTGGACTGTGCAGGCATGAGTACCTTTTCAGGGAGGATTTTGTCCGTGTGCAGAAGGAGATGTATTGCCTGCCTTTGCAAAGCGCCGTCTGACAGCCTGATGCAAAACATGCCAGCACCAAGCTGTGACTCTAAACAAAGAGAGGGAAAGCACTGTATTTTTATTTTCTCTGCTTCTGCAGAGAGTTGGTTTTTTTCTTTCTTCTTGTTTTTTATTGTTTATTTTTCTTTTCTTTTCTTTGACTGAGACAGGAATTTGGATTCTCTGTGCTCCCCAAACTCTTCCCTGGGCTGTCTCCAGCAATCAGACAGAGTGACAGCTCTGAAACTCTCCAAGTTAACAAGTTCAAGTGCTGATGATTAACTAGATTCACAAAGTTGATTGGAAAAAAATAGGGATATAAATAAATATTCCTGGAGATATTCCACCCCCTGTAGTCATGAACTTTGAATAATTGGAGGGAATTATGCTGAGTACTAATCAAAAGAGTTGTTTTTTTTTTTAATTTGCTAATTACTGCTGGGTTTCATCAGTGTCAGACTCTAATCATCTCAAGACATGTTAATTGACCCTTGGGAGTTGTTTATCTGATGCAGAAAGTTTTAGATGGGGTCACACAAAGAAATGCAATCACTGAGGTTACTTCTTGCCTGCCACTCAGACAGAGAGAAGAGTTAAAAAGACTTTGGGCCATGAGGATGTGGGCATTGTCTGAGCTCCAGAATGGCTCTTTATGGGCACTGTGGCTTCCTCCATCCATTGGGGACGTTCTCTTTCTTGTGCCTTGCACTTCAGTGTCCTCCCTGCCAGCCTTCTTTTTGTTATACACACAGACAGTAACTTTGGTGATCCACATGCAGTGAGTGCTAACAGTGACATCCCTCTGGGATGTGGCAATGCTGTAAGGCTGTTCTTTTCATGTAAGGTTTCTGGTGCTCCAGGAGTGGGCTGAGGGTCCTGCTGTGGAGCTTCCTGGGCAGTTTCACAGCCTGGCTGCCTCACCTGTCTCGTGTCCTGTTAATTAAACCAGAGGAGGTGGGAATTAGTGGAATAAAAGGTAGGGCAGTGGGGAGTAGGGAAGCACTGAGTGAAGGGCTGACAGTTCAGCAAGTTTCTCAAGGGCAGGTCTCAGGAATACCAATGTTTTCATCATATAATGTTTTAATTAATGACCTTGGTATAAAAATTAGTCTTATGCTAATGAAATGCTCTGGAGATGCAACGCTGTGAAATATCCTCAATAAGAGGCACGTAATGTCATACCAGAAGACCTGGGTGATCTCGACATGAGTAGAAGTGATTAAATCTAAGAGTGCCAGCGGTGCAAGGTCGCAGACATAAGGGCAAATGAGGAGAACTTCTGCTACCGACTGGGAACTGAGCAGCAGCTCGGGAAAAATGCCTGAGTCACATAGTTAATGGTGGGTGACCACACTGCAGAGATGCAACCCAGCCCCAGGACTGGTCTGTTGTGTCTGTCTCAGTGTCACAGCAAGAAGTGGATATAAGTCAAATACAGGAGAAGAGGAGCATTCCCAGGTGGTGTGTTACCCCCGTGGCACATAGGGGCACCACCAGGAGCAGTACCAGGCTCTGCACATCTGCTGGAGCCACAACTTTGCTCTGACAGTGATGGAACGACTGGTGTTCCCATTGCTGACTGATAATATTTCACCACCTCTTTTGCACCCGTTTTCATTTTGATTCCAGGATAATTTGTATCAGTTTATGAAATGAGGCCTTTCCTTCATTGCAAGAAAACACAAACCCAACCGCAACATCTAGGTATTATTGACTTAAGGCATATATAGGGGTGAGTTTTTATTTGATCACCTTCATTTTTCTAATTTTCCCCTTTCCATCTTCTTTTTCCTCTTTATTATATTGCTGGCTGTTGGAGGCCCTTGAATAGAAATAAACTTTCTAGGTAATATTTCTTAATAAAACCCATCATTTATTATTGTTATTCTCTACCAGTAAATGCCCAGATCCTTCTGTCATTTGTTATAAGTCTAGATTAGCATCTTTTCTGGCAAGGTTGGGATAGATACCTGAATATGACAGCACTTGTGCCCCACCCTGGCTGTGCCCAGCTGTAGGTGCGCTAACAGAGGTCAGGTCTCAGTCACCAGCAGCATGTAGTGTGCTGCCACGGCAGGACACAAAGTATGGAAGAGATTTTTTTCAGGTCCTGTGTTTACCATGTAGCAGTGCGAGACAAAAGGCTCCTGACAGTGGTATCTGATCCTGCACCCCTTGTTACCCTCAAGTCAAGCCGTTACTTGTTTAATCTCAGCTGAGATCCTTCCCCTCCCTTTTGCTTCAACAGTTCACCCAAAAGTAGAGGTAGAGATTTCTCTGGAAGGCGCCTGAGCTGTTGTTTACTGTATTGCCATTTCAAAGAAAAGCCTTTTGTGTAAAAGACACAAAAATAACTAATAACATTAATATAAACATATCCTTTAACTACTGTTTAAGGCTGTCACTGGGTTAAAATAATCTCCGGTGCTGCATCCCAAATGCACAGTAATTATGTGGCGAATCTCTTTATTACAGGGTGTCAATCAAGCAACGTTGTGGCTGTGAGTGAAATCGCTTTGCGTCTCCACTGATATTCCCAGCACAGAGCTGCAGGCTCCATGATGCTTCTGAAGGTCTGTGTGCCTGTGCCCAGTTTGTCTGATTAAAAGGTGCCCACAGGAAGGAGAATTGAGCACAGCAACTGCGCTTGGCTTTTGGGGAAGGAAATGATTCTGCAAAGTGTCTGTCCATCTTCCTGTATCAAAGGAAAACACACAGAAATACTTGTCCTAGTTATGCAGCTGGCCAGTGGCTCCTGGCATCCCCACACAAGGGCCAGAGGGAAGGTCAGGGCAGCCAGGTTAATTCTGCAGCTGGAGTCTCCAGACCCCAGCAGGTGAAGCAGATTATTTGAGTTTTGGTCTGGAGGCTGCAGAGTTTGGGCTCTTTCAACAGTTACTTTGGGAAAAAACTGCTCAATTTTATGTCTAAACACAGTAGTGAGATTCTGATTTCCGTTGGAGTTCGTAACCCCATCGATCCTCCCTTTTCTAGACTAGGAGCTGGAGAACAGATGCCAACCCCTGAACCTCTTGGAGTAAATGGGAGGGTGAGAAATGCAGCCATTTCCTCACCTGGAAAAGGTTTTTGCTTCATTTTCTTCTGCTGCCACTGTCAGCTGCTGGGATCTCATCTGCAACTTCTGCAGGGAGAGAAATCCTCAGAGAGAGGCACAGCATGCATCCTCTGGGACTGCACAGCAGCAGGGACTGCATGGCTGCAACGAGTCTCTCCTTCTCCCACCCTTCCTGGCTGTTGCCAGGTAAGTCTTCCCTCTGCTTTTCTTCTCATAGTTTCACTCCTTCTCTACTTCCGTTCCTTTGACCCTCCACTTTTCATTTCATTTTCCCTCTAACACCACCTTCCCCCTGTCCATGCTCTAATATTGGTGGGTCAGGCAATTTTTGAGCAGAGGTTACAGAAATAACCCCAGGTTTTGCTGCGTGACTGTCTTTCCACAAGGAGGGTTGGAGAAATGCATTTCCATGTGTTCTTGAGCGAGGCCCAGGTTCACCCTGGCAGCTGGGGTGAACACAGGCTGTATTCTCTGAGGGGAGTGTGGGTCCAGTGCAGAGCAGTGAGGGATGGGTTGGGCTTGAGGCTGGAGATAATACTTTTCCCAGAAGCCTCTGGTCCCAACCTGGCCAAGCTCAGAATTTTCTCTGTCATCCCACCTGTCTATCATCAGATAGACAGAGTGGCCTCTCTTGTACACAGATCTTTTGAGTAGGACCAAAAATCCCACATCCTTGCTGGTTTGTGAGGGTCTGAGGAACTGAGGATGTGGTTTTTTTGGTCCAAATTCCCCCTTTCTCTCCCTTGTAAGTGGGGTGGTGGCTGCTCTGCTCCCGCTTCCCACCAGGGCCTGTGTTTCAGCAGCTCTCAAAGGACATGATAGCAAATCACTTTGGGAACTGTTTATGATAAAAAGTGCAATACAAACAGATAATATCATCATACTCCACTATTTAACAGGCTTAAATCCCAAGGATGGGGAGAAGCTCCTGTGGAGAGCAGAGCTATCTCTCAAACACTTCTGCTGCAATTTAAAAGCACTCCCTAGCCTGGCAAGGCTAATTTCACATCTTTTTTCTCCGGGGAATATATCTGGGTTTCTCCCTGCTTGAGGCCAGAGCCCTCCATGCTGATTAGATTCATGCAGGGGTTTTGATTATCACTCTTCTTGAGTCCTGATGGAACACGACAGAGGTGCCCAGCTGGGCTGCATCCCACAACCCACCTGCTGGTGCATCCCCTTGGTGAGGACAGACTCTGGGGTGGTAAATTGTTTTCTTTCATCAGACCCCACTCACCTCCAGGCACAAGGTACTCCCCACAGGAAAACAGTTCCAATTTCCCACTCTCCTACCCAGGATTAATCCTGGGCTATGGCCAAGAATCACTTTACAAGAAGAACGTGTGGGATGGTTACAACAATTCCAATGTGGCCAAATCAGCTGTGAGCTGGGCAGGACATGCTTGCTGAGTGGTGTCCCCGTGAATGTGACCCCTCTGGGGAGTCTGGCTGCTATCTGGCTCATCCTTCCTCCTTCCCCAGTGCCCCACCTCCCTCTACCCCCTCTTCCCCATGGGATTTTCTCTCGATCCATCGGGATGCAAACTTGAATTAACACCGCTCTTTGGTTTATGCCTTGCTGACCTCCTTCCCAGTCTCCTCTCCCATCCTTTTGTGGATCTCTTCACCTTCTGGTGGGATGATTTCAGATTCCTCTTGTGATGTGGTGGGTGAGGCCACCTGTAATGCCCGCAGTGGCACAGGGGAGGGATAACTCATGGGAGCAGTGGGCTGCACCTACCAGGGCAGGCACTGACGACAGCTGTGACACCATTGCCCCTTTGTATTTATTGCTGCCACTGCATTCCCTCACTGGTCTGTACAGGAGAGTCTCATAGGTTACACAGGAGAGTCAGTAAAAATAAGATAGAAAAGGAGAAAAGCATGAAAGGCAAAAATCCTTTTCCTAATTAAGCCAGATGTCCCACCCTTTCAGTTTGCATTGAGGGATGGAAATTGCTTTCTCAGGTTATTTCTCTGGCTGGAAAGGTATTTATATCCAAATGTTGCTGGTGTGGTTGGTGTCTTGACTGAGCTTTTTCATTTCAGTGGCCCTTCTGGAAGAGCCAAGTTTTCAAGCGTTAGGTTTGGTTTGTGCTTTGAACAGTGACTCACTGAGGATTAACCTGGGTCCTTCCTGGATGCACAGGAAGGCAGTGGGGATGCCAGGGATGAAGAGTGGGTGAAGGAATGTTCTCAGCAGAAAGAATAGTAAGGGTTGAGGGGTTGTGCTACAGCTATAGCCCCATAGTGCCTCCAGGAGAGCATCTCCAGTTCTTGCCACTCACTCTCCTGCCAACACCAGCTCAATGCACGACCGGGCCCCAGCTCAGACACCTCTTAGTTCTGACTGGGTTTAAATCACTGCGTTTCCCTTCCTCATTTCTTTTGCAGTGGGGGCTTTACCCCACTCAGCGTCATTTCCCTGCTCATCTCCGGCTCAGACAAGGCAGGAAACGTATTTTCAATGTATTAATTAAAGTGTCTTTGCAGCAGAACATCTGCATGGAGAGCGATAGATCACCGAAGTGTGCGTGTGCCTGCGCGTTGCAGGCTCCCAGATAACGCATTGCTTTGCATAATTTATTCCAGCCAGCACAGCAATAATTTTCATAGCCTGTGATCTTCAAGTATGCGATTATCAATCTGCAACCCGGCTCCACGTGACCCAAACATTAGATTATTCCCAGATAAAGGAGAAGCAGGACGTTTGGCTCTCCATCAGCTCTGGCCAAATGGGTTGTGTGGGACAAGATCAAATGCTGTTTTGTTAGATCTCACCATGCCCAAGCAATGGGTCGGTCTTCTCGGGTATTCATCACTGTCAGCTATTTTGGGAGAGGATTGTCTTTGCCAATGATGCTATTCAATTTCCTGATTGTTCAGCTCATATCGGTTTAGTTTGAAAGATAATAAGATAGAAACCAGAGACTTTCCAGTCAATAAAAGGAAACCTCAGAGGCTTTTTTGGTCTTGCATCTGTCATACTTTGTTGATATTTTAGCTGCTGAGCATTTGACAGCTGGTTGTAAAACTCTTATTTCTCCTTTGAGAGAATTAAATGAAGAGCGTTTAATTTATTCCATGGAGGATTCCCCAAGTGACCCACAAAACAGGTCACTTTCTGGCAGCTGGACCAAAACTGGAGAGATTTGAAACTTTCTCCACTCAGGGGAGGAAAAAAAAGTGATTTCATTACCTCTTGCCTTTCTTTTTTTCATCATCAAACCAATTCTGTGTTTTCCAGCATTAATCCTACCTCTCATGAGTACCACAAACCGCTGCTGGCATCTGTGTGGCCAACATGGCCCTGCCAGTGACAACCAGTGTCTCCTGCGAGAAGATCTTGATGCAGGATTGCACTGGGTTCCATCCATCTCCAGGCACTGGTGCAACTGGGAATGGCAGCTGGGAGCATTTCTTCTGCAACAGGCACGTGGTGCTCCCCCATCAGCATGGACAGACACGTAGGTGGGTGCCCAGCACCATCATTGGAGACATTCCAGCCTGTTTAGCAGGTCAGGACATGAAGGGGCTAATGGTTAATGTCATTAACCAATATCAGGCAAAAGCTCCCTTAACTGTGCCAAGGGCAGGCAGCTGCTCAAAGCAGCACAATAATTATGTATAGACCAAGTAATTATTTTTGTCACATCTTCTTGGCAGGAGAAGACCATTTGTGGGATGGGTTTAGCTACCTTCTGCAACGCGCCTGTGTCTTATTTATCCAGAACAATACACTCAGTGTGATTTTTCTGTCATCTTTTTCCTTTTAACGTCGTTTCCAGCCCACACTGCTTTTAATTCGGTGAGGTAAATTGAGACTGGGAGGGGAAGCTGCAGAAATCCTCCGAACTCCCATTCTCTGAGCAAAACGTTCCCCCCGGGATCTGACGGCGTCGCTGAATAGCTGGTCCTTCCCTTCCCAAGGGGCTTGTGAGTCTCGGCGGAGACAAATGTTATTTTGGATGGCTGTAGTCACTGCACGGCCGGGTCTCGTCGCAGGATCTGCTTGCAGCTTTGGAGCCTCCCTGGCGGCTCCTTCCTTACCTGGGGACCTGTGAGTCAGCAGCCCCGGTGCTGTGCTGTTTTGAATGTCGTGCCAATGAAAGGGACATTACCAGAGTGCTGCCTTCGGAGTCCTGGCGCTGGGCTGGTGTGGATGGAGGAGAGTGATTCCCTACACTCTTATTTCAAGGATGCACTCAGCCTGCCTGGAGCCAGCTAAAGAAGAAGAAGGACTTGGAGGTCTCTGCTCATGGGATCCTGGGGAAAAGGAGATGTTTTGAACCCATTTCCATTCTCTTCCTGAATGCACTTCTGTTCTACTGGATCTCTGGTCAGCCTTAAAATAAGAGAAGAATCCCAGGTTTGGTGGATTGAATAGTTGGATTCCCATCTGAATTTCTGATTTGTTCACCACTTTCACCCATCTTCAGTTTTTTCTTCTTTTAAGAGCTGAAGACTTAAGATGTCCACAGTCCTGTCTTGTAGCTTCACCTACAGATCTCGGCTGTTTGTCCTTTCTCCCCTTCTCCCTTTGGCCCAAAACACAAATGACCCTTAAATAACCAGGTGGCCACACACAGGAGCCAGCAGCCAGTCTCCATGGTGGCAGTTGGACATGGTGCTGCCATTTCCCCTTGTCGTGGACATCTTGAAAATGCAGCTTGAAGGTCCTGATAACGTTTTCCCTGTTCGGATTTCTCACCCTTCACCTGTGGAGTTGTGCAGCCTTGAAAGGCACACTCTGTTTTGCATGGGGACAACGTCCAAATCTGCTTAATACATGAGTGCTCACTCAGAGGTGTCCTTTCAGTTACTGCTTTCACCATCAGCAATCCATAAAAGTGTAGGGTGCCTTAGGGAATTGCTTGCTTTAACTCCTTTGCCTTGGTAACAGTGGGATGCTGCTCCTGGCCCCCTCCCTGCCATGTCAGAGCATCACCCATCCTCTGTCTTGGCTTTCTCCCTCCTCCTTCCTCTTCCTCTGGGTCTACTTGCTATAACTATTGAAATGGATATAGTGGCAATTTGGGGAGAAGATGCTGTTTAAAGCTCTTTAATTTAAAGAATGCTAATTCACTCCATCCTTGGGCGAGTTATCCAGCTATGTGGAAGCCTCCTTTCCTCTGGGTGTCAAATAGGAGGGTGATTTTTCTCAGTCCATATTTAGAGACTTTGACCCACAGGGCATCCTGTAAGGAAGCTCACAGGAGGCAGAGACACTTTGGGACACTGTCCCCGTAGAGCTGGGATGGTGCCGTGGAAGCTGCAGCCCTGGCCGGGATCTGTCTGGTGCCAGCCCCTTTTCCTGAAAACTGCCTTGTCTCTCCTGCTTGGAATCACAGAACAGTGGGAACCTGAGGTGGGCTGTGTTCAGCAGCCAGGGATCAGTGTGAAGGCAATTTCTGGGAATAGTAATAAGAAACTTGGCTACAGATCTCCGTCCTAGGTCGGGTGCTCCAAGCACTGTAGCTAACCCATGTGAAAAATTGGCTGGAGACCTTCCTGTAAACCAGGTGCTGCTTCCAAGACAACTGGATAAATAGTCCTTCAAGCCAGGGGGGCAGCTCCAGAGAGAAGCCACAGGGTAATTCCCTGTGTTATAAAGACCCCTGCAGTCACCATCCCAAATGATTCCTGTCCTGTGCCCGTGTGTGCTCCATTATCTCTCAGGCTGATCCACCCGTCCCCATCCAATTGCTCTGCAATCTTCCCCCATGTGATATTGTGGGATATTCCACAACATTAGCAAGTTGAACATGCTTTTACTGCCCGATGTCTCTCCATGCAATATTTCACTGTCTCGCTGGCTATTATCCTGGCGGCACAAAGTCCCATTGAAATTCATGGTGCAAGTCGCCCATTTGTTTCCTTTGAGCTTTGCAGGGTTGTTCTATGCAGCTTTATGCATATCATTTTTTGCTATGCAAAGTGAGGGTAATGACTTTACCTGCTCTCTTTCAAAGCACTGAACAAAGCCTGTCCCCATGCCGTAGACTGATTTCAGAATATTTGTTCTAGGGTTTGAGAGGGATGAATCAGAGCTCTTAGGGAATGTGCAATCTGATGCTCTGTAAATAAAAAGTAAGTCATGCTGCATCTACATGTCTCCAAGGCAGGCATGTGCTCTCTGTCAACCTTTCTTGCTGGGATCAGCTTCAGGGATGGCTTTGGCAAAGCAGAATAGCTTCATTTCAATGACAGCCCTGGAATAGCGTCACTTGTTTTGGCCAGTGCCACCGACAAGCCTTGGACTAGCTCTGCCTTTTGAGGGACAGATGATGTCCCTCATGAGTGACAAGGTGAGACTCGCCAAGCAAAGGGTCACTGGAGATATCCTCTAGGACATCAGGGGTGTAGGAGAATTGAAGGCACAGCAGCAAAGGAAAAGTTTTGCTCTGAAGACCTTTAGATCCAGACTGACTTGCCTCTGTCACCACCCCAAAGGAGACTAAACCTCAGGTACCCACAGCACAGCTTTGGTGTCTGAAATGGTGTCTGAAATGAGGCCCCCACATCAGTGACCACTTGTAAATATGGGGATCATGATGTCTCTGCTTGGATCTGTGCAGTGACAAGGAGGGCAGAGACAAGGCTTTCCTCTCCATCCACTGGTGTTTGGACGTGGCTAAGCAAGCAGGGTGGATTTTGCCCTGTATGCGTGGTTTGAACTGTGTGTTTTGCAAATTGCAATTTGAAGATCTGGTGGCAGACTCTTTGGTTTGAAAGCACACACAAGCTAAAAGTTATTCCTCAAAGAGTTTTGTGAATAACACCAAAAAACTGCACTGGAGAATTTAATTTTCTTCATGGACAATGTGCATACAAGAGGGGAAAAAAAAAAAGACAGACAAAAATCTTTAAAGAAATATCTCATTGTGAATTATTCACTCTGTTTACTTTCTTGGAGGTCCCAAGAAGGTGCTATGTAATCTGCACTACAGTAGCATGTCAAGGTATCCAGAGGGGCCAAAAGAAACCATCAACAGTGGGATATGTCCCCTGGGGCCTTGGAAAAGGACATCCAGCCTGTGCTGTACTGAATTCAAAGTCATAGATGTAGGATCCCTTACCCTCCACAGGGATGCAAGCACAGTAGGGAGACAGTGATCAGCATCATCAAGGATGAATGGGACCAAATGAAGCCCATTTTGAGACTTCAGTGGTCAATACAATGACATGACAACTCCAGCACCCTCACGGACATCCCCTTATCTGCCAAGCCCAGCAAGCAGAGGTAGAACTAAAGACCAAACCAGTCCTGGATGTTTCCACCAGCTCCAGGTGGTGAGCAGAGCGGTTAATGATGCACAACCACCCTGCACCTGGGCTGTGGGCTGTCAGGAGTCCCCTGTCCCCACTCCTGTCACCTTTCACTGACTTTCATTGACTTCTTCAGAGTTTCAAAGTCAAAAATGAGAAAGAAACTCAGAACAAATGGGAACCTATAAAAACCCATCCAAGCTGCCAAGTCTACAGCAGATACAATTTGCAATGGATGAGGTATTAACACCCTGAAAAATTGGGGTAATGATGTGCAGTAATATTTGTCATCACCAAGGCTGAATATGTTAAACAAAAATGTTCTGAAATGAAGCTTCTGCCT